TTAATGGGCCTAAGCTTGTTTAATGTTTTAAGTTAACTGGGTGTCCCATCACTAATCAGGGGCATTCCAGTAATTACTTGTATCTTGTACTACATTCAAATATAAATAATAGCATGGTCGACTGGCTAGTACAGTTCGACATTCCAGCATCTCTTCTTCTTCTCCTCTTTTCTGCTACTTCGGCTACAGTAGTTCAGCTTCACCTAAAACCTAATTTAAGACAAAAGAAGTTGATGTCATTTATTTATTCAATGCTTTAAAAGCTTAGGCTGTGTTTGGTTGCAATGCAAATTTCCTTTCACTGATGCAAAACCATGATAGTGCAAATTATGATTTATTTTTATTTCAAATGTTACCTTATTTTGTTGGATTGCAGTACAAATGAAGTAAAGCATGACTTAAAGCAAAATAAAGTAAAATCCAAAACAAAATTAAACCAGAATTTGCATTCTTTTCATTTCACTCCCATGCATTGGTACTAGTGCAAATAAAATTGCACTGCAACCAAATACAGCCTTAATATTAAAGGATTGTCCCAACTTTATGGGGCAAGCTACATGAGTCCTGTTTTAATTAAATATTTATATAAAAGCTTAATATTAAAGGATTTGCTTCCCATTTCTCTTGCCTTCTTATATAAAAGCTTGTAATTATGATGATTAATTACAAGTCCTTTAATATTAAGGCTTAAAGGCCCTGCCACAAGTCCTTAAAGGACTTGTGGTCACAGTTGTTACAAGTCCTTAAAGGCCCTGCCACAACCACATTCCTACTATCACTCTTGTGGTCACAGTTGCCAATAACAAGGAATGGAATTTTTTGTGAGTTTGGAGGAGTGTCATTAGATAAAGAGAAGGAATTAGCATGGTTGATACTATTTTAGTTTTTGGAAGATGACTAAGGTTTTGAAGAAGAGATTAAGAGCATATGGTGTGGGAACACTATAGTGTAAGTATACAAGTGTTGAACATGTCCTTTTTGTGTATATCAATGAACCAATGAACCAGTAGTCAAACTGGTAAAGACTGCACTGTCCCGAACTTAATTTTGCATTTTAAAAACTGCATTCATCTAATATAACTAAGTTCTAAACAACCAAAAATCCCTAAAATGAAGCTCCTACTACGAACCTGTATCTTGTTCTTAAATTGGATATAATTTTCTCAAATCATGTACAAATTATGATCTTGGGTTTGTTGCAAGTATTGACACCTCCAGTTTAAGTTACAAGAAGATTGATGGAGCTGAGATAATCTAACTTTAGTTGAGGCCCAAGTATTTGACCTGAGTCTTTAGTTTTGAATATTAACTGCTCTGCATCTTATCTTCACTAGAAACTTTTAAATTCAGCTAGAATGTTCAAAATTCATGCACACTCTAGATCCAACAGATTATACCTCAATGTACTGCAAGTCACAACACTTCACATAAGATGCAAATTGAATTGCTTGTTCATACGTCCATTTTCTGTTAGCATCAGCCCGGAGTTTGACTTGGTGCCCAATCTTTTGCCTAATTTCTCTGATAACAGCAGCATCTTCAAGGGGGTTTGCCCGACGTGCAACCTGTAAAAAGAGGGTTATTCACTTAGAAATTTGTATTTTAAAATTCTTTAAAAAGAGTTTGTAATTATGATGATTAATTTTAGGAATCATAATACAAGATCATCCATTTGTATTCACCTATATCAGTGGAGGTTTGGATGGCAATGGTTACTCTATTTAGTGTCAAGTGCAATAGTTTTGAACTTGCTCTTTGCAAGTTCCATGGTGCAAACTATCTTGGCATAACATGTTTACAGTTACACCCACAAATCTATTTGAAAAAAAAAAACTACATTGTTAAAGACCAACTAACTATAATGAGTTGATTTGGCATTCTGAAAATACTTAATTTCTAAAAATAACACATAACATTTTGTATTGCAGAGACTCACTGACAACCATAAACTAGCTCAGAGTGGAAGTTGGGACAGTGGTTTTACCTTCAACTTAATTGTGGTGAAACCTTCTTCAAATAGTTTAGCTGCAATATTGGCTACCTCTTCAGGAGTGCCACTAGAATCTAAAAGAGCACATATTTGAACTCCTGAAGAACTTCTTATTATTCCATCTTTCTTTAATGATTCATCCTCTTTTGATGAAATTTCACATCCAAGTAAATTCAATAGGCAACATTCCTGTCCTGCTGCCAATGCATTTAGGAGTGCCATTTCCAAGCCACACCTCACACTTGGGAAGATTGAATTTGGCTGGAAATAGGAAAAAAAATTAATTGTCAAAAGTTGAAATTTCCTGTAAATGATGAAAACAAAAAATATAATGGTAATTAAGTAAAACATATATTTAGAGATGATGTGGCTATACCAACCAAGATTCCTAAGCTTCTCCATATCCAAGAAGAAAGGAAACCCTTTAGTAAAGGTAGAAGATAACTCATCTTAGCTCCTTGGATCATATGAGCTATAAATCGAAGTTGCTCCTCGACATCTTCCAGATTTTCTTTGTGGATTTCCATAGGTGCAACCTGTTTTGAAGATTAGATGAAAGACCCTACCAAAATTGAAAAATGGAGAAAAGTAATAGGATACAGAAGCATTTACTGTTTCTTAATTCTTTAGTAATGACATTAAAACAAGTTATAGAACCAATAACTATGTCCTAGTTCTACAACAACAAACTATTACAAGATATTTTTTGTTTCTTTCCCTCCTTTTGGTTTAATTGATATAGTATTAAAAGATAAAGAAAGTAGACCAAATGAGAGGAACAACAACACAACATCTTGTTGGGTATTGTCTAATATTTTTAATTACTTTATAATAGCATATGAGATAGTACCAGCAATTGTTTTTGCCTTTTTGGCAAATCAGAATTTGAATAATAATAATAAAATAATTCAACACCAATAACAAAAAGAATTTGCGTGTCTTCTTGAAACAGTCAATTCAATGAATATCAGGAGAAAAAACAAAAACTAACTTGATTGTTATTAATTTAATAACCTAGAGCCATCTTGGAACGAGAGCATTGTGAGGGATGGTGAGGAAGAGAATGTGGTTGCTTACTCATGTACTTTGAAAGGGTAAGATTCTAATAGAAAAGAGCTTCTAGCCTGGATTCAACACTAGGTTTTTGGTTCTCATGGGGTTAGAGGGTTACAGTGAAGGAAGATTTTCAAATAGATATTAGATGGATAACAGATGCTTCCAGTGGGCTATGGAATTTCTGACACAGATAGGCTACACCTTTGGCTGCCAATCTGAACATCCTGTGTAGCTATTGCTTTTGTGTCTGCCAATTCACATTCAAACCCATCTAGTAATTGTGAAGGTATATTAGCGCAGCTCTTACATGCAACATCTGGGAAGAGATGAATGCCACTTCAAAGATGTAGTCCAGAAAGAAGAAATAAGCAAAGAGGAAGAAAAGGAGAAGAGGAAGAAAAGAGAAGGAAAAGTTCTATTTAAAAGGTCCTAAGGCTGGCAGCACCTAAGTTAATATTTATACTTAGGGCGACAACATATGATAAATGGATAATAAAAAAGACAAATATACCCCTATGGAAATACATAACATATTTCAACACACCCCCTCAAGTTGGAGCATATATGTCAATCATGCCCAACTTGTTACACAACACATTATACCTTTTGTAAGAACGTCTGCTGGTTGTTCCTTGGAACTGATGTAAGGAGTACACACTTCTCCCTTCTCAAGTTTTTCTCTTATAAAGTGCTGGTCAACTTCAATATGCTTGGTCCTGCCATGAAGAACTGGGTTGACAGCAATATTGATGGCTGCCTTGTTGTCACAGTAAAGGGACATTACACTATCAACAAAGAAGCCCAATTCACCAATCAAATTTTTGACCCAAAGCACTTCTGCAACCCCATGAGCCATAACTCTATACTCAGCCTCAACACTAGATCTGGCCACTACACTTTGTTTTTTGCTTCTCCAAGTGACCAAGTTTTCACCAACAAAGGTGCAATATCTACTAGTAGACTTTCTGTCATCAACTACACCAGCCCAATCTGCATCTGTGTAGACTTCCACTTCCATATGACCATGCTTCTTGAACAAAATTATAGTGTTTGGAGAATGCATTAACTAACCGAGGACACCAACAGCATATGCTATATCCGGTTGAGTCATCGACAAATAGAGGAGTCTTCCTACTAACCTTTGAAATTTCTTGACATCCATCACAGGTTCTCCAGTACAATCACCAAGTTTACGATTTTTATCAATAGGGGAATTCGTAGGCTTTGCTCCCAACTTCCCTGTATCTTGTAAGAGATCTAACATCTAGGACATATTTCCTTTGAGAAATGAAGATGCCCTTTTGAGAGTGGGCAACCTCAATTCCAAAGAAATAACGCAACTATCCTAGGTCCTTATCTTCAAATTGCACAAGGGATTTTTTTTTTTTTACTTTTTGTATTTCAAAGTCCTAATTCCCTGTAACTACTATGGCATCTACATACATGACTAGAACCACAACTTTCTCTTGGTTTCTCTTTACAAATAGAGTATGATCAGATTGATACTACTTGAACCCAATTTGTTGAAGAGCCAAGTGAAATCTGCTAAACCAGGTCCTATGGGATTGCTTCAGCCCATATTTGGATAAGGGTGTATTTGGGACTTGTAGCTAGGGCTACCAAGGGTTGTGGGTTCTGAAGTGCCTGGCACTTGTACAATTATGCACATTCTTTTTATAATCAACAAAATTATAGTTACCAATCAAAATCAAAAAGAAAAGAAAAAAAAAAGAAACAACCTTCAAAATCCACATACTACATGAAAATGAGAATAAAAAAAAGAAGCACAAACATCTATAAAATGAATGATATTAGAGATGCTACAACTCCGAACTGCATGAAACTCATAGCACTACTAAACCTGGAAATTACCAACCTCGCCAAACCCTTTGCTTCCATCATTCAAGAACAGGGTTAAGATGAAACCTTCTCTATAGAACTTTCCAGATCCACAAGTGGTGTGAATTGAAGTAGGTGGAGCAGAAAGTTGAATCCTGAGTTGAATTAGCACCGGTGAATTAAGTAAACTAAAGCAGGGAAAAGTTCTATCTGGGAGAGCTCTTAACATTCAAATCTATATACAATGCAGAAGAAGCTTGCCTGTATGAAGAGTATTCCAGTTTATGAATCTTGCCAAGGCATAAATGACTAGAACTATGATCTGGAATCCTTGAAAGGATCCTTAGAGCATGATCAGCTGCTTGACGAGAAGAATTTCTTAAAATGCTGCGAAGTGGCAGTCAAAATTTTACACAGTTTACAGAAAATAAAAAATAAAAAATAAAAACTCAGATGAAAAGTAATTTTATGGACAGGAACAATTTAAACCTGTGGAAGATGGCATTATCCTCAATGCAGCTTTCAACTTCAATGATGCAATCAGCCTGTGCATGTTCAACTGTCAACAAAGCATGTTGTAACTCCATTTTTGTCTGAACGTGTAAATGCTTCAAACTGCAAGTACAACGCTAATGTAGTAATGTAACTGTAAATCTAGATAAGCATATGTCCTAAGTAAGCTTGACATGAAGATTAAAAAAGGTTTCGTTATTATTCTGTCATCCACATTACTTAAGGTATTCTTTCAAATATCTACTATGATATCTAAGTTCTGTCTGAATGCCTATGGCTCTAGGGAGAGCTTATGGGTAGGGGTGCCAATTGGACTGGATTTGGTCCAATCCGGTCCAGTCCAATGTGAGTCCATTATAAATGGACCAGGTCCAATCCAATCCAATGAATGTTTTGGACCAATTTGGACCGATCCAATTCAATGTCTGGACCATCCAATCTGTTCAAATTCATTTTGATTTAGATTGGTTTCAACCCAAACCCGGTCCATTGACACATATATTCTTATCTTATATCAATGGACCCGATATTGGCTTAATCCAACCCAATCCAATATAAATTTGTTACAGATGGACCAGGTCCAATCCAATCTAATAAATATTTTGGACCAGATTGGTCCAATCCAATATGTCTTGTTGGCCCGTCCAATCCATCCAAAATGATTTTGGACTGGACGGGGTCCAATCCAAAACCAGTCCATTGACACCCTTACTTGTGGGGATGTAGAAGGTGACATCCTATGCCATACTTAGAGTAAATGGTATCTGGGGGTTCAGAGGAGTTTCCCTTTTTTTCATGATCAGTGTTAGAGAATATCAACCTATTCAAGGACCTCACCTAACAGCTTAAGCTTTTAGGTTGAATGGTTCTTTGAGATGGTATCAGAGCCATTTTGACCAAGTGGTCTAGTGTTCGATCCTTGTTACCCCCGTTATAATTAAATAAGTTTCAGCACAAGGTATGGGTGGGCCTGTGCTTGTTCACACTTCAAGCACAATGGGCTTTTGTGTGAGGGGGCATGTTAGAGAATATCAACCTATTCAAGGACCTCAGCTAACAGCTTAAGCTTTTAGGTTGAATGGTTCTTTGAGAATCAGCAAATAGGGAAAATGCAATAAGACGTTGTGAATTACAATCGAAGTACTTGATGTAAGCCCCTGCTATCTTACCAAATCCCTAAATTTACATTTGAGCCCAAAACAATTGTTGCCTATTAGCCCCTTTTTTGGCCAAACCATTATCTTTGTACCTACTGGATTTCAATCTCCATGTCTCTTCAATACCATTTAAAATGTCTGATTTCATTTCTGAAACACCATATTGCTTTCCTATCCTTCACTAGCCAGCTGATCACCACCTTGGAGTCACCTTAAATAATCAGCTTTTCAACTTCCATTTCTTTAGCTTTCTACACTCCAAAACACTGCTGCCATAATTTCCCCCCCAAACTACTTCCATCAAAGCTCAGCTTCACCCACCCGCTACTTGGAGGTGTCCAATCCCTTTTAACCTCAAGTTTTTTAGATGATGAATCTACAATTACCCTCCTTTCTGAGAAGATCATCCATTGTAACATCTGAGAAGATCAATTATTGCCTCCTTGCTTCTTCTTTTCCCTCAAAAACTCTTATGCACCTTTCTTCCCACAATATCCAAACCATTGCCACTTTGTACATTTCCACAAGATTTTACCTCTTATTTTTGGACATTTGACAAGTCACATCAAACCAGTGTTTTAAAAGGCATGGGAGGCGTACACCTGGAGGCACGGGCGAGGTGCTCCCAAAACACCCTAAGGTGTATGCCAGAGGAACTGACGCCTTTGAGGCATACGCCTCATGCACTTTTTTCATGAGGCGTACACCTCGTGCACATCTTATATAAAAAGACAGAAAAAAAAAAGAAAAAAGAAAAAAAGGAAAGGAAAAGAAAGGGAAGGGAAAGAAAAAGAAAGAGAAGAAAAAAAGAGAAAAGGAAAGAAAAGAAAAGGAAAGGGAAGGGAAGAAAATATAAGGGGAAAGAAAGTGGTTTGCCCCCTACGCCTCACACCTCTAGGTAGTGGAACACCTCGCGTCACGCCCCCACATTTTAAAGCATTGCATCAAACCATCTGCCTAAGCTAACAGGGGGATTCCACCTGCATCCAAAACAACATGAAGCCATTCCCAAATGCAGAATATAAATGGTTAGAAGACTAGTAGGTAGTATGCAATCTCACCATTTAGATTGCACATGATATATCAATTAGAAGATAAAGACCAAATTTGGTCTCTTTGTAATGAATCACAAGTATTAATACTTCCATGGAAAACTTCCCAACAAAAGGTACCAACTTTAGGGGGAATAGGGGCACAGGACACTTCCTTTACTGGAAAGGTCCTAAAGGTATCAAAAACCACCCCTTCCAACAATTTCAAGAGGCTTGAAACAGGAATCATTTCAAACTCCAAAGATCCCTTCTTGTAGAACATGTATCCAGACCTTCGCAAGAAAGAGAAAAGAAGAGAAAGAAGGGGAGAAGAGAAAGAGAGATCGAGGTAGTGAGCTTGGTGGCTCTAATTTGTTTTACATAACTCATTTAGGCACAGGGCATTCACACCCTTGGTAAGTACATCAGCTAACTGATCTTTAGAACTTACATAGGGAGTACATACTTCCTCCCTTTTCAATCCTCTCCCTTGTGAAATATTTGTCAACTTCTATGTGTTTCATCCTATCATGCAACATAGGATTTGCAGATATATTTATGGTTTCCCTATTGTAGTACAAAGACATGGGGCCCTTCATATTAAATCAAAGTTCTCCTAGAAATCTCTTAATCCACAACGCCTCAGCAACATGATGTGCCATGGTACAATACTAAACTTTAGCACTAATTTTGGCAACTGCAAACTGTTTCTTGTTTCTCCATATCACCAAGTTACTCCCAACAAGGGTATAATAACCAAGGTTCAAAGTATCGATATTAGCCGATACGCCGGTAGGGCGTATCAACCTGTATCGGTCCTTTTCTTTTAACTTTTACTTATTTTTTTTTATTTTGGTTCAGAGGGGCCGGTTTAAGTCCCAACTACCCTCTAAACTAGGCCCTGACCCGATACAACCCCTGTAGGGGCATATCAGGAAGGGCCCGATACGTAACGATTTTTTGAACCTTGATAATAACCTGAGGTTAATTGATGATCATATGTGGATTCAGTGCAATCAATATCTGTATATACTTTGACAGTTTGACTTTCATGTGACCATGCTTAGAGAAAACGATACCTCTTCCTATATGTATCTTCAAGTATCTAAGAACCCTTTCTACTTCAAAGACATGAGTCCTTTTAGGAGCATGCATTGTTGGACAACTTTGTTTCTGAAAGACTTGAAAGACTGCTTGATTTCTGAGTCATGGACAAGTACCAACAATCTTCCAACCAATCATTGATACTGCTTGATTTCTGAAAGACTTCCCCCTCACTGTCTCCCAATTTATGATTTTGCTCAATGGGGTGCTAGTTAGCTTAGTTCCCAACTTGCAAGAATCTTGCAGTTATACACTCCCTTTGGGAGATGAAGATGCCCTTATTGGAGTGAGCAACCTCAATCCCTAGAAAGTATCAAAGGGGACCGAAATCCTTTACTTCAAACTGAAAAATTCTGGTGTTAATTGTGTATGTAGATTACATTGTCATCATCATTGGCAATTGGGAGTTGGAGATAATAATCAGTGATTTAACTAGCACTACCTAAAACCCACCTGTTGGACAACTTTGTTGAATATGCTAAACCAAGATTTGGGAGACTGCTTTAGCCCATACAAGGACTTCTTTAGTTTGCAAACTTTCTTTTCACAGCCTTCAACATAAAAGCTTAGAGGCTGAATCGAGTATACTCTCTCCAAGTCCCCATTCAAGAAAGCAACTTTAATGTCAAGTTGATGAAGATCCTAGTTAAGGTCGGCAGCTAGAGATAAGAGAACTCTTATTGAATTCATTTTTGCAACCGAAGCAAATGTTTCAGCATAGTCCACTCCATTAACTTATGTGAATCCCTTTGCTACCAACCTCACCTTGTACCTCTCCACTGAGTGTTTTTTTCTTTTGATAATTCTCTCCACTGAGTTATTTGTCCTATGCTTAGGAGTGAAGACCCACTTGCATCCAACTTTCTCTTTCCTCTCAGGAAGATCAACTAACTCCCATGTGTCCATTTTTATGTAAGGCCTGGATTTCCTCCCTCTAGCATCTTTCCATTCATGTGAAACCAAGGCTTCTGTAACATTCCTATGAATAGAGACATGAGAAATAGTTGTTAGAAAAGAACAGAAAGAAGGGAACAAGTGACTACAAGAAATGGAATGGGAAATTGGGTGGTTTTTGGTACATGAACAAACTCCCTTATGGATAGCAATGGGAACATCAAGGTTGTCAATAGCAATAGGAACATTACTAAAAACAACATCAGTGGGAATATCAACAGGAATGATAGTACCTTGTCAATTTACCTCTTGAGAGCCTATTGGTGTTGGTAATCTCTAGTCATCTTACAAGTTTTGATGGTCCCAATGGTAACGAAAATGATCATGAACAAAAACCTAAGTAGGGCAAGGAGTGGGAAAAAGAATAAGAAGAGGCAACAGAGGGTAGAGTAAGGGTCTCAGTGGCTTTAATGTCTCCCTTTCCAGAAATAGGAGCAAGAGAGCCATCAACAAGGGAAACCTTGTCTTGACCAAGCAAAAGCTGATAGGATCATAGGAACAAAAAAGATTAGGTATGCTAGTTATGTCATCAGATGCACCAGAATGAATAATTCAAGAGATACAATGATTACCTGAAAAAAATTAGGTATACTAGGCCATGAATTCTTCAGCTTTATTATCTCCAACTCCCAGTTACCAGTGATGACTATATCATTTACATACACAACTAATACTACAACTTTGTCATCCTCTCGCTTCACAAATAATGTATGATCTGCCTGGCATTGCTTGAAACCCACTTGTTGGACAACTTTATTGGATCTACTAAACCAAGCACTAGAAGACTACTTCAGCCTGTACAAGGACTTCTTTAGTTTACAAACACCTGAGTAGGTTGTGAAGCATCTATCTATTCAAATGAAACCAAGGCTAGAAGGAGACAAGTGATTAGTGATTATAAGAAATAAAATGGGCAATTGGTATTTCGTGGTACATGAACGAACACCATTATGAATAGCAATAGGGGCATCAAGAGCATCACTAGAAACAACATTAATAGAAAAGTTAATAGGAACAATAGTACCTGGCGGATTTACCTCCTGAAAGTTTTTTGGTGTTGGTTGCATAAGCTATGGTCTTTCCACACCTTATAAGTTTTGATGGTCCTAATGGTTACAGAAATGATCATGAACAAACACCTGAGTAGGTTGTGAAGTAGGAATAGAAGTAGAAATGGGGCAAGGCAATTAAGTCTAAACCTGCTTCTCCTCAAGTATAGCATTCTCCCGTGGAGAAGAGGCAAAGAAAAATAGTTGATTCTCAAAGAATGAGGCATCCATGAAAACAAAATACCATTGAAACTTAGGGTCAAAACACGTATACCCCTTTTAAGCCAACGAATATCCAACAAATAGACAAGGAATAGAATAACTATCTAGCTTACCACGAGAAGGAGAATGATTGTGAACAAAACAACAACATCCAAAAATATGAAGGGAAATAGAGAATAAGGGGGACTGAGGGAGTAAATGCTTGATGCGGAGCTTGGTATTGGAGAAGACAAGAAGGTATCCAATTAATCAAATAGGCTACAGTGTATAAAGTATCCATCAAGAACTTCTTTGGGGCATTCATGCGAATAAGTAAACTATGAGAAACTTCAAGAAGATGGTGATTCTTTCTTTCTACAACACCATTCTATTGAGGTGTATTTGGACTCCAACTTCTATGAAGAGACCCGCAAGAGGAAAATAACTCTTGGACATCACCTTTCAAATACTCTTTGGCACTATTTGATTGAAATATTTTAATGTCAACATGAAACTACGTGAAAACCATACGGTGGAAATTTTGTATAATTTTGGTAACCTCTTCTCTAGATTGGAAAGCACAAACCAAAGTGTACCGAGAAAAGTTGTCAATAAAGCTAATAAAATATCTTTAGTTGCCTTCTATTACAAAAGAAATAGGGCCTCAAATACCAGAGTGAACAATTTGGAAAGGAAAAGATGCTCTTTTATTATTTTGTTAAAAATGGGTTCTACAATGCTTACTCAATTAACACAATTGACATTGTAAAGATGACAAATTGAAACAGTTAAATAAGTCTGGAAACAAAACTTTTAACGGAAAAAAGATAAATGACCAAGATGCTGATATCAAACATAAACATCATCTTTATTACCAAGACTCATTGACTCACTAACAAACATAATAGACTTAAACACTACAACACCATCTCCACTCTCCAATGTGTATCGATCAACCATGCACCCTTTACCAATCATCCTCCCAGAGGTAAAATCTTGAAAAACACATGAATGAGGATAAAAGGTTAAAAACGAACTAAGAGTTTGTAATACGGATAATAGATAAGAGGTTAATAGGTAACTTAGGCACATGAAGAACATGTGATAAATTAAGACCTATAGAGAGGGAGACAAATCCTTCACTAGTAATGGTTGAGAAAGAACCACCAACCAGTTTCACTTTGCCTCTTCAGATAACAAACTATAAAAGGAAAATAGGTTAGGCTTACCAATCATGTGATTTAAGGCCCCTAAGCCAATGATCCAGGGAGTCTTAGTGGGAACAAATGAAAGATAGAAAATAGTCTGGTAACCTGATGTAGACACAAATGAGATGGATGGCATGATAGTAGTCTCCTCTAACAAACGCAAAACCCTACCATACTCTTCAAGATGGACTTTGACAACAGAAAACTCTTTCATGGCAAACAGAAGTTCTTCCCAAGAGACAGAACCAACTAGATGTTCATGGGATGTATTCTGACTAGTAGTGTCAAACTCAACCTCATGAGAAACTATATAAGATGAACTATACTTCATGTTCTCTAGCTTCTTCTGATATTGGTTCCGAGATTGGAATTTTTTTGGTTTTCCGATCAAGTCCCAACATATCTCCTTGGTATGTCAAGGCATCTGACAATGTGTTCACCATAACTTGTCTTTATTAACTCCATCAGTCCTGTTACCATCAGTTTCTTACCTCCTTCATTAATCCCCTTGGCAGCAAGGGCGACCTGCTCCCCCTTAATAAGGTTCATGTCTGTCTTCCTACTCTTCTAACTAGATAAGAGAATACACCTCTTGTATAGAGGGTAGATCCTTGCACCCTAGAGTTTGTACACTGTTAGGTTCATATAAAGTATGGAGACCAAAGAGGAATGCAAACACTCACTGCTTGCTAATTTTATCCATTCATTAATCCAAATAAAAGATATTTTTAAATGATTATTTAAAATTATAAAATCATTTTTTGTAGGGATTAAGAATTAGCATGGACTTGTTTAGGCTTGCCTCACAGGGCTTGATCATGGGTCCGGGACCCACCATGCTTAAAAAACAGAAGAAATACAAAAAATAAAAAAGGTGTATGCCTAGGCTAACATGGAAGGTGCACCAGGTGAATGCCAAAGGCACATCTTTTAAATCGTTGATGGATACCAAGAGGTTTAAATCAGACTGCTGGTTCTTTAACTAAATCAGGGATGGAAGGGATCTTTCATACGATGCAAATAGATTACTTGATTCATGATAGGGCTTTTTCTTTTGGTTGCTAAGCCCTTTTGTACATCATCTCATGTAAACCCCCTCTCTTTAATTGAATGAAAGGCCCAAATCATGGAGGGCTTGCCTATTTATAGGCACTCTACCACCTTTCCTAACCACACATTGCACTTCCTCATCTTCCTTGTTACAAGTTACACCCACATGTTGCACTTCCTTGATGGAATATCCTAGACATCACTCTAGAGCATTCTACAAACTCATATATACTACTACACAAGAACTCTCTATAGCATGCCATGCCTAAACCCCCTCTAAACATTTCTAGGCCCAAGAAAACTCCAAAATGTCCCAGAATACTCCAGAGCACTCTACCCCATTGGAAAAGATTCTACAACTCTCCAAAGTGCTGTAGATGGCTCTGGAACATCCTGACTTTGGCTAGAACCCTCTAGAAATGCCTTTAAGCCTCTAGCCAAAGATTCATCTACCTAAAAGTGTGAGACATGACAAATTGCTTACCTAATCTATAGAGGCACTTGGAATATCTCTCATTTATACATTATTTTACTACAGATGATAAAATTTTACAAGTTACAAATTAAATTAATTAATTATCTTGCTAATTAGTCTTTGAATCACCGGTCACCACTATGATCATCCAACCTCATATTTAGTTCCATGGGTGTATCAGGAGGCTTGGATCTAAATTTCCCAATTTCCTTAAGAAGATCTAGGATACACTGCAAGTAATGAAAGGTAACTTTTAATGGGGAGAGTTGGAGGACTTTTCTTCTTTGGGCAGGCAAGCTAGGGAAATAAGAATAGGCTAAATGTCCCCCATCCTCTAATTACTTATGAGAATAAGAAATGCAAAAATACTCGTAACATACAGTAAAGCTGACATCTATGAAGAATGATAATTGCTAGGCACATCTCTCAAAAGAGATAACCATCATTTTTCTCTTTTATGTTTGTACTTTATACATTTGAAATGCTTCTTATATCTAAAACATTTCTTCTTTACACTTGTTATTCCAAGCTCCGTAAAGTGATAGCTTCCTAATGAAACCTTTTTATAAACTTTTCCTAAGGCTTAGTTTGGGAAGAGTGCAAGTACAAATATGCACAGTGCAAATCCTTGTATATAATATTTCTAAACCTTGTATTTGTACTCTTCCCAAACTGAGCCTAAAGCACAAACTACATGAATGGAAAATGATATATCTACAAAAGAAATAAATATCAGGATGTACTTGTAAGAATGATTAGTTATTGTCAATTACCCATGTGCTTCACACAGCTTGCTGATGTAAACATTGTGAGATGTGTAAAAGTACTGACTTAGAACACTTGGTGGAGTTCTATCTGCAATTGGAAGAAGCCTAAAAATTGCGCCACCATGATTGTTCACAACAACAATTGTCATGGGTTTTCTCCTTATCCTTCAAAACCAGCATATTCTTAGATATATTCAAGAAAAGCAAGCATGATAAGGTGGAAGTTGAAGTGGTAAACAATGATTATTAACAAAATTATAAGATAAAAGAAATCAGGAGCCATTATTTTGGAAATAAGAGTAATTGAGTAAATGTAAAGAGGCAATGATAAGAAAATATTTTTAGACCTAGGAGGTGTTCAGAATTGCAGTGCATAAGCCCTTGTTGTTGATATGGTTTAAAAGATTCCAAAATTGGTCAGTTGGGGCATCTGGTTGACAAAAAAAATTACCAACTTTTTTCTGGACAAAAGAAGTAAAAAATAATGATTAGAATCATTGGCCTTTTGCCATTTTGTCTTTGTAACTTATCTGAAAGACTGGAACTTTGAATGACCATAGTTATCAAAGAATCTAGGCAATTCTAGGTGATAGTGGGCCAGCTTGTCACCTAGGCAGGGAGGTACTTAGGTGAAAAGAACTTTATAAAACAAATAATTGACTCATTTCCTTAGTTTTATATACCATCTAGCATGCATAATAACTGAAAAAAAGCAACTCTCTTTATTAAGAACATTAAATTTCCTCTCCAAACGTGGCAAATCATAATATCTAAAAGAAAAAAATATTTTAAATATATTAATTTCAATATTTTCAAAAATAATACTAACAAAATAAGTATTTAATATTGCAATTTCATATCAATCAGAAACTAAAGAAGGCTGTAATTTTATATGATAAAAATTTAAGATACAAAGTAAAAGAGAAAAAAAAAAGTACAAGGATGGTGCTGCATTTTTTATGAGTAAGTTGTTGTTTTATTAAAGAAACCTCTTTATACTTCTATTTTTTCTTTCTTTTTCTCTTCTCAAAACCCTTTGATCTTTTAAATTTCAGCAGTAAAACTTTAAAAAAAAATTAATACATATATAAATAAAATAAAATAAAATTTATTAACACACATATTAGTTAGATGTGGCAATATGAATGATATTATTACAAGGCACTAGCCTTGTCATTTTTGTCACCTGGGTGGGCACCTAGTTACATAGATGCACACCTTGTTTCTATAAGCCAAGGCATTTAGGCAAAAACACCCAAACAAGAGCACCTAGTCTTAGGTGATGCCTTGACAAGAATGAGCAAAATTTTAATGAAAATAACAAAATACCTATATGTTAGACAGTGTATGCCCTTACCTCCAATCAAATCGATGTATGCAGATATTTCAATGTCATTAATGTAAGTACATTATTGTTTTATCTTCAATTGGTGTGCTCCTGTAAATTACTCCATAAAATGGTCACTTATGAGACTTGTGTTAGTTTAAAATGTTCTCAACCATTGAAGAGTTTATCCTGACAAGGTTGACACTTATGTGCTACCAAATTGGAGCAACTTGTCTCAGCTGCTACGGTTAGACCCCAAGCACAGCCAGTGGGTGTTCGGATGAAACATTGAACTTGGACCATGGAGGCAGATGGGCAAAATAGGAAAGTTGCACTTAACCCCAAATTGAGTTGTCGGTAGTGATAGGATCAGCCCCTTTGTCAAACAAAGTGAAATATTAGGGTTTACATTCTCTTTGATGGAAACCTAAATTGTTGGTAGTGGACTTCAACTGTAGTTGAAATCTAATTTTCAAAATGTATTTATATATTATATTATTATTTATGAAAAAATTTTGCAAAAGGTTTTAATCCTGGGATCCATCTAACTAGAGAGTGTGACACTGCATTTTGTAGTAAAGGAAGAGGTCCTTCCCTATGAGTAGTGTTTTGATAATTATGGGCTGAGAGGTTAAGGGCAAGAGACCATTACAGGGCTGACAACCTAATGGGCTTCATCTTACAAAAGTCTATTATTCTTGGATCTTCATAGGGTTGCTGAATCTAAGCATCATTTATGTTTAAATGTTGGGCCTAGACTGAGCCCAAGCTGATTGGGTCAAGGGTTAACTACCCTTGGGCAATGAATTCAGCCTGTCCCTTTCTAGGGGTGGGGGCGAACCCTAGTCTTGTATATTAATTTTCTTTTGTTTTTAATTCAAAAGTTGTTCCACACTTTGCTTAGACACACACCTTGCCTTGCATCTTGCATGGTTGCACCCTAAGATCTAGGAACCCCTTGAGCATTCATTGCACTTTTCAGGCTCTAGTGTGTGTGGTTAAGGGCAAGAGACCATTACATTGATGAGTCACGAGTGTGGGGTTCCATACCCACACTCAGGCTCTAGTATGTGTGGTTCCATACCCACACACTATTATTTCTAATTTCTTTTAAGTTGGGCCAGCTGGTCTTATCCATATTATGTTTATCCTTTTTCTTTGTTTTATTAGGACTAGAACTTTTTGTTTATTTCCTATTCTTGTAAGGAACCTAAAGCTATAAATAAAGAGGTGTATGGGGTGGCAGATACATCAACCACCGAACCCCTTCTTTCTCCTCCTCCTCTCTTTCACTCTTCTTCTCTCCCTCTCTCCTTCTCTTCGAACCTGTATTACTTCTCTAATTACACAGTAACAGTTCTACTTCTTCCAATTTGGTATCAGAGCATTTGATCTAGGGTTTCTCATGTGGATTTAATTCAGCCGACCACATGAGAATTATTTAGGGCTGGAAGTTCAGAAAGATCCTTACTTCGGCTGATTCTTGGAGGTTACAAGAAGGCTTTAGCAGCTGTCCTAAGATTGGAGAGTGCTTCTTGCAATCAGGCAAGAATTAAGTGATCTAGATCAGTTCTTTGATCAAGATTGGAGGTGCCGATCAGTTTTTTCTTGGTTCTTTGATCAAGATTCAAGGTGCTGACAGTAGTTGATTGATCAAATTTGAAGACTGAAGATAGCAATCAGTTTTCTGGGCAAATTTCTCCTTTTCTTGAGGCCGACAGCAGTAAGAGACAAGTTGGCATTCTGCTCTTCATAAAAGCAATCAGTTTTTTTGGGCAAGTTCCTTCTTTTCTTGAGGCCAGCAGCAGTAAGAGATAAATTTACTACTTTTCTTCAGAAAGTAAGTTCTTTTTCTTTGAGATTGATATTCAAAGGTCTTTGTTGTTCATTCAGAGAAGTGCGGCTAGAAAATCTCTTCTCTTTCACCTATTTTTAGGAGGAAAACCTAAAGTCCAGGACTGATATTAATTCCAGGACAGTAGTTGACTGTTATCTGTTTCTGGGTAACTGCAAAATCATTGTCCTAGGTCGGCTGTTATCAGCCTTGGGGTACAGTTTTTGTTATTACAGTAGTTTAAAGCCTTTTCTTAATCATCTCCTAACCTAGAATGGAGTTCAAAAACCAAGGGGAAGGTGTTTTTGGGACTGGTGGTTCAGGTAACATGACTGAGAACACCTTTCAGATTACAACTGTTAAGTTTGATGAATCAAACTACTTAGAATGGGCCCAATCAGCCATGATGGCTATTGGGGGTAGAGGAAAACTGAACTTCTTGCTAGGGGATGTGAAGGAACCAACCAAGGAGGACCCTACTTATGCTAAGTGGGTTCAAAAAAATTTTTTGGTGATGACATGGCTGTGCAACTCTATGCAGCAACACATCAGCCGAAACTACTTGTGGGCCAAAATAGCTAAGGAAATATGGAATGTTATGAAGGAAACCTACTCTTAGCCCCTTAATGTTGCTAGGGCTTATGAGCTGAAATGTGAGATTAAAAATTTGAGGCAAGAAGAGAAGCTGGTCTCCGTTTAATTTTCAACCTTGAAATCCCTATGGATGAAATTGACCATCTTGAAACAATTGAGTGGGAGAGCCAAAAAGATGCACAAATATATAGAAAGCAGGTTGAAACTAACAAAGTTTTTGAGTTCCTAACTGGTCTGAATTCTGAATATAACATTGTGAGACAGCAGTTGTTGACAAGAGATAGTGTGACTTTATCACAAGCCTATTCCCTAGTGCACAGTGAAGAAACTAGAAAAAAGGTTATGTTGCAGCAACAGCCCTCCGAATCAGCCTTTGGCAGCAGTTAAACCTAAATCTGGGGGGGAGGGGAGAGGGGATAAGGAGAAGAAGGAAGCTAAGGACTTAGTATGTGAAGTTGTGAACACTGCAAGAAACCTAAACATACTAAGGACACCTGTTGGAAGTTGCACCCTCATCTAGTTCTAGCAAAACTCAGAAATAAGAAAGGGAATGCTAATATGGCTGTCAACACTAATAGTACAACTTCATCAGGCACAAGAGGCACTCCTCTAGATACCCTAGCTGCAATCCGAGCTGCTCTGACTCAGCTAGAAAATGAATTTAGTAATTCAGCTTATCCTACACCAGCTCAGCCTACTTCAGCCCCTGCTCATATAGGTACAAGAGCTATTGCTTGCCATGCTTCTATCCCAGGTAATACTAGACCTTTCTAGGTAATAGATTCAGGTGCTTCGGATCATATGACCAGCATATCTACTCTATTTAGCACCTATTATTTATCCTCTGGGAGAGACAAAGTTTCTATTGTTGATGGCTCTCTTGTACCAATTTCTGGTAAGGGAGACACCAGATTATTAGATACCACCACCCTATCCTCAATTTTACATGTTCCCAAACTTAGTGATAACTTACTTTCAATTAGTAGTATTACTAAAAATCAAAACTGTCCGGTAACATTTTTCCCTAATCGGTGTATTTTTCAGGATCTGGAAACGAAAAATGTGATTGGGATTGGCCATGAGATGAATAGAGTCTACCTGCTTGAACATTCACAGGGGGAGCAGAGTGAAGCAGGGAAATTGTTTGTTTTTCAGTCTTGTAGTAAGACTATGCTTTGGCACAACCGCTTAGGTCATTTATCTTTTGGGTCTTTAAAGAGTTTTTTTCCAAACTTGTTTGAGTCAGTAGAAGTGTCTGGGTTAAAATGTGAAAGTTGTGAACTTGCAAAATATAGTAGATCATCTTATCCTTTAGGTAATAAAAGAAGCAACCTTCCTTTTGAGATTGTGCATACAAATGTTTGGGGGCCCTACCATACTCCCACCATGGGGGGCTACAGATATTTCTTATTATTTGTTGATGACTATACCCGTTTTTCATGGGTCTACCTTATGCACTCTCAAGATGAGGTCCCCTCTCTAGCCCAAACTTTCCATCAGATGATTCTAACCCAATTTGAAACCAAGTTCAAGATTCTCAAATCTGATAATGCCAAGGGTCTACCTTGGCATCCTATCTCCTTGATCATGGGATCATTCATCAGAGCACTTATCCTCACACACCTCAGCAAAACGGGGTTGCTGAGAAGCATATTTTAGAGGTAGCCAGAAGCATCATGCTCAACTCTAATGTTCCCATACGCTTCTGGGGTGATGCAGTCCGTACAACCATATACCTCATTAACAGGGTTCCTTCACGGGTCCTAAACATGCAAACCCCATTCAGTTTTCTATATCCAAATAAGGACCTGTTCACCATTCCCCTGAAAACTTTTGGGCGTACCATTTTTTTTCAAATCCTTGGACCTCATCACTCCAAGTTTGATCCCAAAGCCATTAAATGTATTTTCCTTGGGTATACACAAAATCAAAAGGGATATTGCTGTTATGAGCCAGTTTCAGGGAAGCGCTTTGTGTCCATGGATGTCACCTTCTTTGAAGATATGCCCTACTATTATAAGGCTTCTCCTTAGGAGGAGAATAGTGAGGAAGGGATTTCAGTTTCAGCCCCAAAAGTTCCTTTACCTATCCTAGTTACTAAAGGGGGGGGGGGGGATTGTGAAGAAGGTTGTCAAAAATGTAGAGTTGAGAGTGTATCATAGAAAGTGGTGGAGGCAGGTTGATTCTCATACTCAACAGCAATCCAAACTAGTTCCAAAATCCTCTACAATCCCAGATTCAGACACTACTACTGCTCCCACTGTTGATCCTACTATTACAAATGTTCAACCTTCACCGACAGATGACCTTGATCTTCCAATTGCTATTCGAAAAGGGAAGCATCGTTGCACCTCATCCACTGCCCATTGCATCTCCAAGTTCCTTTCTTATAATTATATCTCAGAATCCTACAAATCTTACTTGGCATCTATTTCTGCTATTCCTATACCCAGAAAAGTGCAAGAAACTCTTTTGATACCTGAATGGAAGGAAGCAATGCAAGTAGAGATGGATGCTCCTATCAAGAACAACACATGGGAACTAGTTAATCAGCCTAAAGGAAAGAAACCTATTGGATGCAGATGGGTGTTTACTGTGAAATATAATGTTGATGGTACTGTAGAAAGGTATAAGGCTAGATTGGTTGCAAAGGGATTCACACAAACTTATGGCATAGACTATACAAAAACCTTTGCACCTGTTGCAAAAATAAACACTATCAGAGTTCTTCAATCCATTGCTACAAACTTCTCATGGCCTCTATTTCAGCTGGATGTTAAGAATGCCTTCCTCAACGGAGACTTGCAAGAGGAAGTATACATGGAGTTACCCCCTGGTTTTTATAGTACAGAAGCAGGAAAGAAAGTTTGCCTTTTGAAGAAGGCCTTGTATGGGCTGAAACAATCTCCGAGAGCTTGGTTTGATAGGTTTAGACTGGCTTTGGATAAATTCGGATACATACAGGCTCAGTCAAACCACACTCTCTTCTTTAAGAAGACAAGTCACTCCCTGACCCTACTTGCAGTCTATGTAGATGACATTGTGATAACGGGAAGTGACACTAATGAAATTGAAACCCTTAAACAGCACCTTCACAAGGAATTTGAAGTGAAGGACCTAGGAAAGTTACACTATTTCCTAGGAATTAAGGTAGCTCGATCTAAGCATGGCATTTTCATCTCCCAAAGAAAGTATGTTCTAGACTTATTGGAAGAAACTGGCAAGTTAGGAGTAAAACCTATTGATACTCCCATTGAGCCTAACCATAAGATAAGTGAAGAAAGTGGAGAACTCTTTGAGGACAGGGCTATGTACCAAAGGCTGGTTGGGAAACTTCTTTATCTCTGCCTAACCCGACCAAATATTTCTTATGTCGTTAGTGTTGTCAGTCAATACATGCATTCTCCTAGGACCTCCACCTCCTTGCAGTAGAAAGAATTCTTGCCTACTTAAAGAGATATCCAGGGAGAGGTATACTCTTCAAAAATAATGGTCATATGAAAATATAAGTGTATACAGATGCGGATTGGGTTGGATGTGTTGATGACAGGAGGTCCACCTCTGGATATTGTGCATTTGTGGGGAGAAATCTTGTTTCCTGGAGAAGCAAGAAACAAAATGTTGTTGCTCGCTCCAGTGCCGAAGCAGAATACAAATCCATGACCAATGGTGTTGTAGAAGTGTTATGGCTGAGATCCTTGCTTAATGAGTTAGAGGTTGATTATGAGAAGCCTCTGATGTTGTATTGTGATAATCAAGTTGCAATTAATATTGCCCACAACCCAATACAGCATGACAGGACTAAGCATATCGAGGTTGACAGACATTTTATCCGAGAGTCAGTCGCATCTCAAAACGTATGCCTTCCTTACATTGCCCCAAACATGCAGTTAGTTGATCTCTTCACCAAAGCAGTCACAAAAACCAAGTTGGAAACAGATCTTCACAAGTTGGGCATGACAAATATCTAATCCCAACTTGAGGGGGAGTGAATAAATAGTTGATGAGTCCATACCCACACTCAGGCTCTAGTGTGTGTGGTTCCATACCCACACACTATTGTTTCTAATTTCTTTTAAGTTGGGTCGGCTGGCCTTATCCATATTATGTTTATCCTTTTTCTTTGTTTTATTAGGACTAGAACTTTTTGTTTATTTCCTATTCTTGTAAGGAAACTAAAGCTATAAATAAAGAGGTATATGGGGCGGCATATACATCAATCACCGAACCCCTTCTTTCTCCTCCTCCTCTTTTCAACTCTTCTTCTCTCCCTCTCTCCTTCTCTTCGAACCTGTATTACTTCTCTGATTACACAGTAACAGTTCTACTTCTTCCAAGTATGGTTCAACTTTACCATTTAGTTATAATACTTGTATGGAATTACTAACTTGAATACAGATATGTGCATGTAGGAGGATTATGGTTCAATAAGCTCCTCACCCCACCCAAGGGTATCATTTTGCTTTCTTTTTTTCTTTACTTCCTTATTATTCTTTCTGTCATGTCATGCCACTGACTCAAAGCAAAAAAAAAAAAAAAAAAAAAAAAACACGAAGAATAAAATGAGGAGACTGTCACATTTATGTTCCATTTATGTGTTTGGAGTGTCAAGACTTTCTCTTTGGCATGGTACTGGCTCAATGGAAAGTTTACTCAATTGCTTATCCATTAACACAACAATGATAGAATTTGTACACTCCTTGAGAAAAATTATGACCAATACAGATGTGGTATGATCTTCCACAATGAAGTGTCACCCAAGTAACACACTAGGCGAGCATTAATTTATTAGGCAACAACCAAGTATTCTTTTTTTTTTTTTTATAAGTAATGGTGATTTTATTAATTAGAATAAAATCACAGTATACATCATACAACTCCCCATCAAGAGGCGCAAGGTGCTGCCTCTAAACTACAACATAAAACTTACAAGCAGGCCCAAAAGAACTGATTCCTATGTGCTCCTTGTTTGGCTAGGAAATCTGCCAGCCCATTTGCCGATCTTCTTTCCATTGAAGGCAACAACCAAGTATTCTTTTACTTTTAGATGCATAGGCAATGTTAAGAGAAAGACAACAAGCAAACAATCTTAAGAGAACACAGGATGACATTTTCAGCAGGGAAAAACAAGGCCAGTGGTATAGATATAAATGTATTAGTAAAGGAAAATAACTAATTTTCCCCATTTATATATTTATGAGTGTTTGTTACCTACTCTTAATTGATAAGGCTGAATATGGAACTAAAAAGTAGGAATCTGAAGTCATTGTACAAGTGGTTTTTCTCCTTTGTAGTAGAGAGGTTATTCAAAAATCTTCTCATTATTTATAAAAATTAAAGTAGTTGTTTTTTCCCTTACTAATTTAATTTGTGGTGTAATAGTTTATTATTATTAGGACAAAATTACTATAATTTTCAGAAGTAATGACAAGATTTTTCAATAACACCTCTACTTCAGAGGGGATAAAAATAAAAAATGCACATGCAAAATGATTAAGATCCCTAATTATCAAAAAAAATGATTAAGATCCCTAATATGTGTGATTATGTACATACATTATAAAATATGTTTATATTTGTTTATTACTTCTCATCCAGGCAAACCTAGGCACCTAGGCATCAACTCACCTTGTCAGATAAAAACACCTAGCTTCCTAAACTGCAGTGAGAATATTTTGATCATTCTCAAATTTATTTTATTCTTTTTTAACATTAGTTACTATAGTTAAATGGTTTGGAATGGTTTCTTGGTTCCTAAGTTAAGTTTAGGGTCTTTTCCTATAAATTATAAATATACTTAAATGATGAAATGTAAACAAGCCCTTCACTTATTAAGGGAAGGTTTTGCCTTCTGGACTTCCTGGGATTGAATGGATTAGAATTCTGTGGGAGATTTCTTTTGATATATAAAAGAATTCTAGAAGTAATTCTACATAATTCAGCTTCTTTGTAGAGGATTAATGTCCTCACAGCAACAATGATGACTTCACACACACCGCTGCATGAATTTGTGCACCATCAAGATCCTTTACCAACTATAAGTTACTAACAGTACATGCATAGACACATTAGGCCACCTATGAAGGAATTTTTTCTTAACAGACAGAAACTACTACCTTTGATTAAGAAGTGCCAATCCATTTGTATCATGAAGAAAGGATACATCTCCAATCAAGCAAAGCACCTAAAGAAAATTAGATTAAAAATGAAAACATGCAGCAGGAAATTTCAAACATGTTAATGAACAAAAATACCAACATTAGAGGCCTATGACATGGATAAATATTAGGCTATGTTTGGTTTGAAGGAAAAGATAGGAGGGAAAGGAAGGGTAAGGTGGGGAAACCTTTACAATACAAGGTTTTGTAAAGGTTTTCCCCACCTTTCCCTTCCTTTAGTGAGGGTGAGCCCCTAGCTGATACTAGATGATGCAAGAGACTAGGAGAGTAGTTGGGAAACTGATTTATTTAACCATCATGAGACCAGGCATTTCCTTCAGTGTTGAATTATTGAGTCAATTCATGCAAAACCCAAGGACAGTCCATTGGGAAGGTATTGTTAGAGTTCTATGCTATTTAAAGGGTGCTCTGGGTCAAGGGTTGTTGTATAAGAAAGGGAGAGAATTCGTCTTGGAAAGATATATGGATGCTGGTTGGGCAAGATCAATTACTAACAAGAAATCAACAACTGGTTATTGTACATTTTTGGCAAGCAATTTGATCACTTGGAAGAGCAAGAAGCAGAATGTGGTGGCAAGGAGTAGTGTTGAGGCCGAGTGCAAGGCCATTAGGGCTGGCCAATCTTGACCCCATCCCATTTGACCCACCCTACCCACCCAATTTATTAGTGGGTCAATATGGGTCGAGTAACCCAATAGGGTCAATGGAAAAGGATTAGGGTGGGTTGGGTCGAGGGTACCCATTAGGGTTAGGATGGGATGAGTCACGCGGGTCAAGATGGGTTGGGTCAAAGTCAACTCTATCTATACTCACCAAATCTCAAAAAATGTTAGTTGTAGTGATTTAAACTCAAGCCTCCTAGCGTGCCAACATTTCATTACACTTCCAAACCACTATGCCACATTTCAATTTGAGAATAAAAGTGAAATAAAATAGATTTTGTTAACTTCCGTGTTCATGTGCAATTTTATGAAGTAATTTTATGAAAAGGACTTTTACGAAAGCACTTTTACATAAGTACTTTTACATGAAAGTACTTTTATAAAAGTACTTTTACAAAAGCACTTTATGAAAGTACTTTTACAAAAACACTTTTATGAAAACACTTTTACGAAAGTACTTTTACACGAAAGCGCATTTATGAAAACACTTTTATGAAAGCATAAAAGTACTTTTATAAAAGTACTTTTACGAAAGTACTTTTACACAAAAGCACTTTTATAAAAGTACTTTTATGAAAGCACTTTTATGAAAGCATAAAAGCACTTTTATAAAAATACTTTTATAAAAGCACTTTTACGAGAGTACTTATACACGAAAGCACTTTTATTAAAGTACTTTTACGAAAATACTATTATGAAAGCATAAAAGCACTTTTACAAAAGCACTTTTACACAAAAGCACTTTTATAAAAGTACTTTTATGAAAGCACTTTTATGAAAGCATAAAAGTGCTTTTATGAAAGTAATTTTATGGAAGCACTTTTATAGAAGTACTTTTGTAGAAGTACTTTCATAAAAGTACTTTTGCGAAAGCACTTTTATAAAAGTTATGCATTTTTTGCATTTTCTGTCATTTTCTGCATTTTTTTTGTAATTTTCTGGTATTTTCTGCATTTTCTACAATTTTTTGTGCTTTTTTGCATACTTTTTGGATTTTTTGGTGTTATTCGTGCATTTCCTACAATTTTCTGGTTTTGCATATTTTCTGATTTTTTCTGCAAAATTTTTTAATTTTCTGTAGTTTTAGTAATTTTTGGTATTTTTCTACAATTTTTTGGTATTTGTTTTGCATTTTCTGCAATTTTTCTTCAATTTTTGCATTTTCGGGTACACGGGTTGACCTCACTTGTTTTTGTCACGTGGCAGTCTTGAGAGATTATTCTCTCAAAATTTATTTTTTTGCGTATACGGGTCGTCCCGACCCATTTTTGTATTTATAAGTGAGGGTAAGTGGGTTAGTATGGGTGAGGGTGGTTAAAGGTCAATATGGATGGGTCAAGTGGGTCAATATGGGTGGGTTAAGGTGGGTTATGACCCTTTAACAAGGATTGGTGATGGGTCATGGTGGGCTGGTGGGTCAATATAGGTGGGTTGATATTCACCCCTTGTCCAACCCAACCTAACCCACCCATTTTCCACCCCTAAAGGCCATGGCTCACACTACATGCAAGTTGGTGTGGTTAAAACAGTTGTTACAGGAAATGGGAATATCAATCACAACTTCCATGAAGCTATTTTGTGACAACCAGACGGCCATTCATATCTCCTCCAATCCAGTGTATCATGAGAGGACTAAACACATAGAGGTGGATTGTCACTTTGTAAGAGAAAAGGTGGTTAGTGGAGAAATCATTACCCAATATGTGAAGTCTGAAGATCAACTAGCTGACCTATTCACCAAAGGATTGAATGGTGCTCGGATGAAATACATTTGTAACAAATTGGGAGTTGTATGATATATATATGCTCCAACTTGAGGGGGGGTGTTAAAATACAGTGTTTTTCCTAGGGTTATTTTAGCCTTTTTCCTTCTCTTTCTAATTCTGTTTTGTCTCTGTTCTTAAATCATAGTAACAGGGGTAATATTGTAATTTTCATTTCATTATGAATATAAGCATATAGGGGTGGCAGTTTAGTCTCATTTGACTGAGATCGTTTGCCCTATTCTCTTCGTATTCTTCTTCTCTTCTTCTTCCTCTCTATTACCTCTCTTCCAGAGACTGCTGCAGGTGTTTTTCTTGGTTTATTGGATTAAGTACAGGTCTGATAACACCCTTCAAACCAAACACAACCTTAAACTACAAATTTTCAATATGATCAAATAGTATTGTGAAAAAATGAATAATATGCAAAATTGTATTTGTTGAGCAAGTGACAATGATTGAACATATATGATCTAGTTTATAAGTTTCTTCTGATTTGATCATTTCAGATATCACTTTGAACCACTGAAATAAAGCTGAACAATGTATTTTAGCTAAGCGAAACTAACAAGAGCATGAAATACTGATAATTAAGTCTTATGACTAGGAGTGAGCAATCAGCTGGACTAAGTTCTCCTTGGCCCAGCATAGCTTACATGCTTTAGGGTTCAGAGAAAGTCCACACACAGTGAACCAAATAGGATGACCACGGGCTGGTCAAGTCTAAGGATTTTTATATTGATATTAAAAGTCTAGGCATTATGTATGTATGTAGGCATATCTGTGCATACCCGTCAATTGCCTTTTTGTATTTTGTGCACCCTTATCTACACAGGTCTGAGATAAGTCTAAGTGACCTAAGAATCTTCTGTCTCAATTTTGATATTAACCCAGAAGAACACCTTGAGTTACTGTCTCCCATCTTTATCGTGGGACTTTTTTATGACTAATGAAAAATTTAATTAACATGAGTACAAAGATGTGTACAGAAAAGGTCAAAAGAAGGGACACTTTATGGAATACTCCCTCTACACCCAAAACATCAGACTACATACACCATTATTTACCCAAGTATCAAACTGAGTAGCAACCATGTGTTAGAAATCACGAATAATATGTGGGACATTATATCTTAATAAGCCATGCGTATCTTGTATGCCATCCACAAATGTGATAAAATATCAAAAACCACCTAGCTCAATCACATGCATAGGATACAAGTATCACTCTAAATTTCTTTACTGACCATCATGTCACTCTCTTCGATTATCGGGAAAGAATACAAGTATATCTAAATAATATTCTTCAATACTAGCCAATAGGCTCTATATTCATTAGCACTTCTTCTCTGTCACCTCAAATATCAGAATATAATGCCAATACCTTATCACTTGCCAAATATCAGAATATAATGCCATTGACTCTTATGAGTGAGGTCCAGTAGAACCCTTATAATTAAAACAAGTGGAAATGTCTAAAGTACTTACTCGCTTATTGCATCCTACCGCAAATCCAATAGCTGTGCTAAGCAATCCATCAATACCACTTGCCCCCCTGTTACCACCCACTTGTATTCCCCGGCATAGCAAATTACAGGTTGGCATTCTTGATGCAGCATCAGAGGTAGAATTTACCCAACCCTGAGCATACATGTCCACGTCACGTATGACCATGCTGTTCCCAACAAATAAAGCAGCATCAGAAGAAAGTGCTCCTGTAACTACTTGTGCAACATGAGGTTCAGTCAAGGAATACTCGGAACAAATTTGAAAAGAAATCTCCCATGCAACCTAGAAGTTCATAAAAGAATCCAACAAATATATCATTATATCAGTAAGGAACTTGAGTTGATTCTTGTGAAAACAGAAAATTCAAGGAAAGCTGAACCTTTAGGTAAGCCTAGTTTTCCTATCTTTGGTACTTCAAAACAATTAATTGAATTCATAATCATTGCTCCAAGCCTCACATCTTCATGATGAGATCATGGATTGATAATCTGACAGAGGACTAAATAAATATCTCTGAATGCTCAATTTTCAGAAACTATAGTAAAAGGTGGTAACTAAAATAATCAATCACTTAGAAAAGAAAATTACAACATTGCACAAATATGTGAATAAATTAAAAATTCCACAAGATAGCATTTGGAAGGGAATCAATTAAAGAAAGAAGTTGGTGTTTTATTTAGTAAATAAAGTTGGCACTAATAAAATGGTAAATGATCTGCTCTATCTGAAAAACAAAGGAAAGATTACTGGTACAGTTGGTTTTAAAAATATTTTTCTAAGATTAGTTATTACAACTATTTAAATGAGTTTCCCTCAACTTGTGTCCAAGGAGTCAATCAATTGACTTAACTGTTGTATAGATGTTGACCAACCAACCATTTAATTTCATTTGAATGTCATTATATATTTGTAATTTCTTGTTCCTTCACTTGTGTTTTTGTTCTACAGGATTCATATTTGTCTTCTCCATGACTACAAAATCCATAAGAATCATGTTCATACTGTTACTCTCAGTTCTTTTATTTTTCATAGGGATCATCATCATTGAAACCTTGCCTCAACTAAACTGATCCAACTCAGTTTCTATTTCATTAGTCAAGTACCCTACTTCCCTTATCTGGTGCTTGAGGTGTGTCAATTGCCAAAGTACTTCACATTCTACTTTTAACCACCTAATGACCATTTGTGAATCACCTTCTACAAACATGTCCTAAAATCCTTGCTAGTTGCAGCCTTGAACCACCACTTGGAGTTTTGCCTTATTGGGCTCTCAATAGCCAAGTACCATAGATAGTTATTTCATGCTTTTAAATATTCTTGCATTGATTGTTGGTGAGTAAATTTTTATTCTTCTATTAGATTGTCATTAAGGGGAGATTTTTTTCTGTTTTTTTTTTTTTTTTTGCATTGGACGCCCCCCTTTTATATAGCTTAAAGACATAAAGAAAACAATTTGGACTAGAACTAGGAATTGTGCTTAGACCATAACTCCTACCAATATAAAGAACTCAGAAATTACTAAAATAACAAGTCAAAATTTACTACAAATAGCAATTATAAGAATTAATATAAATAGTAATTTCATTCTTGTAGAGAAAATGGTTGACCAGCTTGTGGTCCCCACTTGTTCATATGTTTTTCCTTTGTTTATAGTGCTGTTAGAATACTGTTAGAATTCTTTTTCTGTTGTTTCTAGTGACAGGGGCATTCCTGTCATTGAACCACTTATTGTTGTAGACCTATTGAAAGCAGCATACAGCTCTCCGTTGTACTGCGCTCTCCAAGTGTGCTTGTTCCAGACTAAGCCAGACCGAACCCCTCTTTCTCTTCTATTCTCTCTTCCTCCTCTCTTCTTCCTTTCTCTTCTCTTCTTTCATCTCTGTTTTTCTTTTGTTTACTAAGCAGGTCTGAACCTCCTTGGTTTCAGACAACTTGGTATCAGAACAGGCCTAAACCTGGTTAGGGCTCTCATGTAGGTATTATCCAGCTGACTACATGAGAGTAGTTCTACGGCTGGAAGTTTCAGCTTGATTTGCCTGGTTCTTGGAGGTCATTGGAGATAGAAGAAGGTGCCCAAGGTTCAAAATACTTGGAGAGCTGTCCGGTGACCAGGAAGAATCGGAGAAAACAGGTTGGTTTCTGATTTAGAGCTTAAATCAGAGATTGAGAGTGACGCCCAGTAATTTCTGGGTTGTTTTTCATTTTGTTTTTTTTGGACTGTCAAGTGTCTGAAATCTCTCTGGAATCAGTACAGTTGTTCTGCTGTTCTCTTGGACTGTTTTAGGGCTTCTTTACGGACTGTTCTTCTGGGCTGTATTGTTTTGACAGTGTAGGTCTCCTCTACTGCCCACCTTGTGTTCATAAAAAGGCCTTTGAAGTTTTTATTTACTTTGGGTTCTGTTTGGACAGTACTTGGAATTTCTGTTTGGAAAAGGAGTTTGGACAGTGATGTACTCTCCATTCAGTGGTTATCCTTTATCCATTTCAGCATGGAAATGGCCGGAAATGAGAACAAACCAAATGGAGGACTTGTAGGAGCTTTAAACTCTATTGACAACAGTTCATTTCAGATTACTATAGTCAAGTTTGATGGAACAAACTATTTAGAATGGGCCCAATCAGCCGTGGTGGCCATTGGAGGGAGGGGAAAGCTGGGGTATGTGATGGGAGACACAAAGAAACCAGCACAAGAGGACCCTTCCCTCTCTAAATGGGTCCAAGAAAATTATTTGGTTATGACTTGGTTATGCAACTCCATGCAGCATCATATCAGTAGAAACTATCTTTGAGCAAAGACAGCTAAGGAGATTTGGGACAATATGAAAGAAACCTATTCTCATCCCCTTAATGTTGCTAGAGCCTATGAACTGAAAATTGAGGTGAATAATCTTAAACAAGGGGAGAAACCTGTGTCGGTCTATTTCTCCACCTTGAAATCATTGTGGTATGAGATTGATCATCTTTAGACTATTGAGTGGGAGAGCCAAAAAGATGCTGCCACATACAGAAAATTAGTTGAGAAAAATAGAGTGTTTGAATTCCTGGTTGGGCTAAACTCTGACTGTGACATTGTAAGACAACAACTTCTCACTAGAGATAGTGTCTCTTTATCTCAAGCCTACTCTCCAATACATAGTGAGGAAAGTAGAAGGAAAGTTATGCTACAAATTCCATCTATGGAATCAGCTTTAGCAGCTATAAAACCGAAGACTAGAGGTGATAAGGAGAGGGATGTAAAGAAGGATAGAAAGAGGGATGTGTTTTGTGACTACTGTAAGAAGCCAAAACATACTAAGGACACTTGCTGGAAGCTTCATCCTCAGTTAATTCCAGAAAGACTTAGGAACAAGAAGGCAAATGCTAATGCAGCTATAACCACAGGAGTTTCATCCACAGTTGTAACCATAGGAGCTTCATCACTCCCAACACTAGATCCAGTTCTCTTGATGCATTGGCTATTGTTAGGGCTGCTTTCTCTCGGCTAGATAGTGAAGTTGGTTTCTCTGGACAATCTCATTCTACTCCTCCTCCCAGTTCTACTTTTTCTCAATCAAGTACAAGGGCCACTACCTATCATGCCTCTACCCAGGTAGAACTAGCCATTTTTGGATTATAGATTCAGGTGCATCTGATCATATAACCAGTTTATCTTCGTTATTTCACACCTATTGCTTGTCCCCTGGCAGAGATATTGTTGATGGCTCTCTTGTCCCTATTTCTAGCAAGGGAGACATCAATGTCTCTGATGCTATTTCCTTATCCTCAGTTCTGCATGTTCCTAAACTAAGTACTATGCTTTCCGTCAGTAGTATCACTAAACACCAAAACTGTTCAATGACCTTTTTCCCTGATCATTGTGTTTTCTAGGATCTGGCTACAAGGAAGGTGATTGGGACTGGCCGTGAGACGAATGGGATCTACTTGCTTGAACATCCACCTGGGATCTGGCTACAAGATGATGGGAAGTTTTTTGTGTCCAACCTATGAGTCAGATTATGCTTTGGCAAAATCAATTGGGTCATCTATCTTTTGAGTCTTTAAGGAGTCTTTTTCCTAATTTGTTTGAGTCAATCCAAGTGTCCAGTTTAAAGTGTGAGAGTTGTGAGTTGGCAAAGCATTGTAGATCAAATTATTCACAAAGTAATAAAAGAAGTTCTTTTCTTTTTGAAATTATGCATATTGATGATTGGGGGCCCTATCATATTCTTGCTATGGGTGGGTACAAATACTTCCTATTGTTTGTTGATGACCACTCTCGGTTTTCATGGGTTTACCTCAAGCGCTCTCGGAATGAGGTTCCCACTTTGACCCACATTTTTCATCAAATGATCCTAACTCATTTTGGGGTTAAAATAAAAAAATCTTAGATCTAATAATGCCAAAGAATATTTTGCAAAACCCTTATCTTCTTATCTCCTTGAGCATGGAGTGATTCATCGGAGCACTTGTCCTCATACACCTCAACAAAATGGTGTAGCTGAGAGGAAAAATAGGCACATCCTTGAAGTTGGACGAAAAATCATGTTGAATACTAATGTTCCTATTCATTTCTGGGGGGATGCCATTCTTACTGTCGTTTATCTCATTAAAAGGATTCCTTCACGAGTCTTGGACATGAAAGCTCCTTTTAACTTGTTGTATCCTGATAAGAAGCAGTTTTCTGTTCTTCCCAAAACCTTTTGTTGCACTTGTTTTGTCCAAACCCTTGGGCTAGCCCGTTCAAAATTTGATCCTAAGGCTGCCAACTGTATCTTCCTAGGGTATGCACAAAATCAAAAGGGATATTGTTGTTATGACCCTGTCTTGAGAACTAGATTTGTATCTATGGGTGTCACTTTCTTTGAAGATGTCCCCTATTACCCTAGGGTTTCACCTCAGGGGGAGAGTGGTGGGCAGGGTGTATTTGCTCAAGATGTTCCTTTACCTATTCCTACAAGTGGAGGGGAGTGTAATGAGGGGAGTTGTCAAAAGTGTAAAGAATTCAGGGTGCTCCATAGAAGATGGTGGCGGCAAGTTGGTTCTAGTAATGATTAGTCTAGGCCAGTTCCTATCTCTTCTGTGGCACCAGATTCAGGTATTGCCTCCTCCTTACCCACTCCTACTACTAATGGCATACCCTCTTCCACTACTGTGCCTCAGCCATCCTTAGATGACCTTGACCGCCCGATTGCAGTACGTAAGGGGAAGCGTCGGTGTACCTCATCCTCTGCCCATTGTATCTCTCATTTCCTTTCTTATGATCACATTTCATCATCATATAAGTCCTTTTTAGCCTCCATTGC